CAAAGGAAAGTATAATTTTACAGTTTATGTGAAAATCTACGAAGCATTAAAAGTAGTCCAGTATGTTTGAACTTATAAAAACATTATGTAGAGCTGAGGGGGTGGCCCAGGGGTAGAGCATAAGGTTGCACACAAGAGCATTATGTAAAAATCTGGCACTGAGAACAGAGACTGGAGCTGTGGCTCAGTGATAGAGCGTTTCCCTAGCATAGTAAGACATTTGGTTTGGTTTCCAGGACTAATACACATGTACACATTGTGTGTGTGTGTGTATGTGAATATATATATATATGGATTTTTTGTTTTTTGTTCTGGTACTGGAGATCAAACTCATGACCACGCACTTGTAAGGCAGGCACTTAGTGCATAATTTTTTTGAGACAGGGTCTTGCTGTGTAGTTTAGGCTGGCCTTGAACTCAAAGTAATCTTCTGCTTCAGCCTTCTGAGTGCTGGGATTACAAGTGTGTGCCACTATGTCCACGTCCAACAATTATATTTTTTAAACAGGAAAAGGGATTATAAAATTTAAAATTTACTGGGGATGGTGACACACACCTTTAATCCCAACATTTGGGAGGCCGAGGCAGGAGGATTGCTGCAAATTTGAGGTCAGCCTGGGCTACATAAACAAGTTCAAGGCCAGGCTGCACTATATAGTGAAACCCCATCTCAAATAAATAAATAAATAAAATTTATGACATGTCAAAGACACAGGAGTTACTATTTTAAATCCCAGCATAGTATCAACCGTAAAGTTACTTTGGATTATAATCATGCATTACTTAGTGGGTAGGAATACGTTGTGAAAAATGCATCATTCAGTGATTGTATCGTGGTAACTCATAAAGTGCTTAAACTGAAGATGAGCTGAAATACTAAACGAAGTGATACAGTTGAGAAATGCAGGATACACAAGATGTTTGAAGTTGCTACCAGTGTAAGACACTACGATTTTACAGTAAAAAATGTTTTTGTAAGTGCAATAGAAAGAGTACATTCTAACAACAGAAAGTATAGTATATTGGCTATAAACCATTGACATAGTGTTTATTATCAGTTATGTACCATATATAATTGCCTGTAATCCTGTTAACCAGCTTTGTTTATACTGCCAACACCACAAAGACATGAGTAGCACATGCAGTGTTAGAACAGCTACAATTATAAGGCCCTTTTCTGTCCTCCTCGAAATCCAGGAAGTTTATATTTGTAATCTCATAATCCCATGGAAACGTTACTGGAATTCTGGTGGTGCTTAGGTCCAGTCTGCCACCACCAGTACAATCCATGGTGAAAATAAAGACACCAAGACATATTTACAGTTAGGGCAGCCAAGGGGTCCGGAGTTCCATCCAGACAAAGATTCACAGAACAAAGGCCCAACACAGGGCCTAACTCGGATTTTATGGATCTTTGAAGAGAATGGCTAAGGATTGAGTGTCTGTGAGAATGGCAGGAATTACATGAGTAATGTGAGCTGAGCTAGCTAGGAGGCCAGAAAGCACCTCTGCAATATGCCCAGAGAAAAATACATAGAAAGACCAATCTGCATAACACAATTGAGGTAGCATTTAATGTTTGGGGAGCTGTTACTTCAGTTGCTGATGTGTAAAGTTTTGTACCCTAGGAAGTCATACATAGCCTCTTATCTCAGAGGCTCACTCAAATCCAGTTGACAGTCCCAGACGGTTGGCTCTGTCATCCTGCTGGACTCAACCATTTAAAGGGAGCCACTCAGATGGGGAAACAGGGTTATTACTTAGCTTCAAAGTACCTTAGCTAGCCCTATTTACATTACTTAGAGGGAGTTGAAGGCAAAGAGAAATAGCTTAGCCAGCTCTGTATGTATCAGTACATGGAGATAGGGCCCTGTTTAGCTAAAGTGAAGATAATTGCTCTGTTTTCAAAGAGAGCTGTCCATGTGGTCTTCTCCACACAATGACAGTGGGCTGACAGTAGGACTTCTCGGCTCCTTTACTATATGGGAGCTCTGTTGTATATGCAGTCTGTTGCTGAGCTAATGTTAGATAGTGCGTGACTTATATGTGCAACTACAGGAACAACAAGGACATTACTAGAGACAATCACAAAAGTCTATTAAAGAATAAAGGCAGTCTCAGTGAGTGCTGATCAGTACTATATTCATCAGTGGAAAGAGTTGGTATTTTAAAGATATCCATTCACCTGAAATTAATTGGTAAATGCAGTGCAGTATCAAAGTCCCAACAGGATTTTCTCTGAACTTGATAAATTCTAAAACTTACATGGAAGAATTCATGAAAGGACTAATATTGTCCAGATAGTTAAGAATAAGTAGAATCCTAGGGTATCCCTGAAAGGAGAAACATGGTAGCAGTTTATTTCTCTACTCTCACTTTTTTCTGTTTCCACAAGGCTCACTCCATAGAGAGGGGACTCACATATTTCCCAAATTTGTAGCCTGTCGCTTGAAACGTACCTGGAAGTCAGCACCAACATACTACCACATGGAAGAGCAGCCCCACATAGTTAAGGCGAGGAATGAGCACCCAGGGAGCTCAGCTTGACTTGGACTGCAACCTACTCAGGACCCTGGGCAAGGTTGCCAATAACAAGAAGAGCAGGCAGTTCAAGAGATAACGCCTTCAGAAAAAAAGGTTTGAGGGAACTGTGATGATGTAGTTTGTGTGCAGAATAGGTTCATCCAGAAACTTGCTTGGATCTTTACAAAAGCTTAGCAGAGATGACATTTTGAATTATAAGAAAAGGAAGGTGCTATATGATAAGTAACACTGAGTCCAAAATAAAAAAAACACCAAAACTGTTTTCATTATGCCACACAGCACATGCCAGCTGGATTAAAAACTCATTAAATGTGAAAAACAATACTTAAGGGGTAAAAATATGGGACATAGAATTGCCTTTTTGACCTTTTGTATAGGAGACAGTTCTTAAAACAAGGCCCAAGTAGCACAGACTCTAAAGAGGGAAGAACGGTAAATTTGGCTACTTTAAAATGTAGAAGCAACCCATCCCCCCCAAAAAGGTCACAAATAGAGAAAATATAAACAACCCAGTCAGGAATAAGACTAAATTTGTGAGTAGGCATTACATACACACACACACACACACACACACACACACACACACACACACACGGAGTCAAGCAGGCAGTGACTAACAAATTTTTAAAAACTACTCTTAAAAAATGTTACTAGGTGCAAACTAAGATTTTGGTTTACACTTACCTAATGGACAAAAATGTTACTCTATTAACAGATACAGAGCAGTGGAGGTGGGTAGTGTGCATACAGAAACTCAGCGTCCACGTTTTTAAATGTGCTTTAGATTATCAAATCACTGGAGGACCAGAGAATCATCTGTCCCTAAAATCACATTCTCCCTTCAGTGTTGGCTTGTCCTGGAGCAGGTTCTACTTCTGAATATCATTCAAGTTTTATTAGTCTGTGTTACTTCTGCTATTACATCATCTGGTTGCTTCTTCATCTACATTTGCATGTCTGTTTGGTCCCAGTTCCTAACTCTTCAGTGGTCTTCCCTAATTTGTTATAGACCTAGAAACACAATATGTAGTTGGAGTTTTATATGTAACAAGTAAATATGCCCAAAATAGGGCTTATGAGGCCTTCTTGCAAGTTGATGGAGAGGTACATACACTTTTCATTGTATCTGTTTTGGTAATTTAGAGGCCTTTTACATTTCCTGATTCTGGGCTCTTTTTCTACTATTAGCCAGAGTTACTAAATATGTCAGCTGTTAATGACCTTGTATTTAGTCAGTAAATTTAACTTGCCCACATTTATACATAAATTCTGTTGTCAGGGCCTCCTAATGGTATATTCAACCTAATTCTAAAAATAAAAGATAGTTGGAATAGTCAAGTCGAGAGATGAAGTTTGAAACTTGGCTTAAAATTGTTTATAAGGGATTTGGATAATTGTGAATTATATTTCATTGACTTTTGAAACTTGTAAGTTTTTTTGTTTTGTCTTGGGGTTTTTGTTTCTGCTTTTTGGTTTTTGGGCTTTTTTGGGGGGAGGGGGTCTTTTTGACACAGGGTTTCACTATGCAGTTCAGGCTGACCTTAAACTCACTTGGTAGCCCAGATGATCCTTCTGCCTCAGGCTCCTGAGTGCTGGGATTACAGGTGTGCACCACCACAGTCAGCAGATTACTTTTTAAAACATAGTTTTATTGAGATAAAATTCCAATACTGTGCAGTTTACTCATTAGAATGTGCAATTCAGTAGCTTTTAGTACACTTAGGTTTATGCATCCATTGCAGTATTAGAATGTTTTCATTATTCCTGGAAGAAATCTTGAATTTCTCAGCTGTTATTTCCCAGGAAATAACAGTACACATTGTCTTCCTCTACCTCCTATGCTCTAGGCAACATTACTAATTACTTTCTACTTCTGTAAATGTGCCTTTTCTGGACATTGCATGTAAATATAATTGTATATTATGTGACATTTTGTAACTGGCTTCTCTCACATAGCACAATGTTTTCAAAATTGCAATTATATAATAGTACTTCATTTATTACTGGATAATATCCCATTGTATGTCTATTGTAGTTATCCATTTAGGAGATGATAGGTAGATATGAATAGTTTCCACTTTTTTTTACTATTTCGAATAATGTTGCTGTGAACATGTGTGAACAGATTTCCATCTAAGTATATAGCTGAGAGTGGAATTAGTATAGTAATTTTAACTTCTTGAAAAACTGCTATAGCAGTAGAAGGTGCAATCTTTTATATTCCCAACAACATATAAGGGTTTCAAGTTCTCCGTGCCTTTGCAAGCTTTTGTTTTGTGTCTTTTTTACTATAGCTGTACTAGTAAAGTATATCTAATTGTGTGGTTTTTATTTTATGCTTTTATAAGGCATGCTAACCAGTGCTTTCCCCAGGTTTTCTTTTAGTAGGAAAAAAATGTTACCTTTAAATCTGTAATAACATTTTTTTTTCTGTGTTGTTTTTGTTTTTCCAACAGGCTAAAGAAATTTTAACAAAAGAATCAAATGTGCAAGAGGTTCGTTGTCCGGTTACCGTCTGTGGAGATGTACATGGCCAATTTCATGACCTTATGGAACTCTTTAGAATTGGTGGAAAATCACCAGATACAAACTATCTATTCATGGGCGACTATGTAGACAGAGGTTATTATTCTGTGGAGACTGTGACTCTTCTTGTAGCATTAAAGGTATGGTTAATGAAAATCATCTTTTCTTTTTTCCAGATTTTGAACTAGGCAGACGAATGGCAGTATTGCATATCATCTTTTTTGAGTTTATGGTCCATTCAGTTCATAGCTCCTTAAACAATAGCTGGCTTTATATCTTTTAAAAACAGACAGAAGAAATTTATGCCTTAAGTTTCTGTCTACTTCTGATGTGTATTATTCTTTCAGGTTGTCCATAACTGAAGTTTTAGAATTTTTAAGTGACTTACTCTTCATACTGAGTCAGTAAACAAGCCTTTTAAATTCTTGCCTTGAAAAGTCTATTGTTGCTCCACACAATTTATCACTTTTTTTTTTGTCTTGGTACCAGGGATCGAACTCACGACTGCCTGCTTGCAAGGCAGGCGCCTATGCCGCTGAGCTAAATCCCCAGTCCCACAATTTATCACTTTACACCTTACTGCAATAATTTGGTAACTTGTGTTTCTGTCTCTAAGATTTGATCCTTTTAGATCACCTTGAATATACTGAGAGATGAAATCTCTCTTCCTTAACACTTACTAGCACTTTTTTTCTTCATAGTTCCCAAATTCTTTGGTAATTCTGTGTTATTGTAAAATCAGATTCAAACTCCTTGCCGTCCTCTGTTTATAGTCTAACCTGGATTTACCTGTCAGTAGTTGATAGCATAAACTCTTTGCCTCAGATCACAGTTTTCTTATTCAGTGTTTTCTAAACTAACTGCATGAATTTTCTTTTTTTTTTTCTTTTTTTTTTTTTTTTTTGTCTTTTTCATTTTTATCAGTACCAGGGATCGAACTCACGACCGCCTGCTTGCAAGGCAGGTGCTTATGCCGCTGAGCTAAATCCCCAGCCCTTAACTGCATGAATTTTCTTCCCCAATTTTCCTATAAGATTATTCTCAGGGCTGGGGATTTAGCTCAGTGGCATAAGCGCCTGCCTTGCAAGCAGGTAGTCGTGAGTTCGATCCCTGGTACCGATAAAAACGAAAAAGACAAAAAAAAAAAAAAAAAAAAAGATTATTCTCATTACTTTCTTAGCCATTCTCCCCAGACTTGGGTTTCTCTTTTTTCCATAAAGACTTCATATTTTTGCCTTACTTTGTTTGTTTGTTTTGTTTTTGAGACAGGCTGTAACTCTGCAGTTTAGGCTGACCTTGAGCTCACTTTGTAACCCAGGCTGGTCTCAAACTTTGAATGATCCTCCTCCCTCTCAGTCTCCTAGTGCTGGGATTACAGGTGTGTACCACCACACCCAGCTAGCCTTACTCCTTTTACTCAAAATTACTATAATAAAGCTGAGCAGAATGGGGCCCACCTGGCAGCACTCTGGGAGACTGAGGCAAGAAAATCATAAGTTTGAGCTCAGTGTGAGTAACTTAGCAATTTAGCAGAACTCTGTCACAAAATAAAAAGTAAAAAGGACTATAGATGTACTTCAGTGCAAAGGCCTAGGGTTCAATGCTCAGTGCCAAAAAAAGAAATTACTATATTATAACTTCTCAAATATCCCTTACTTATGTCTGTTACATACTGGCTTATTACCTTATATTGTTTATGTCACATTTCTCCTGAATAAGTCCCTAAACAGCATAGTTTCCACTTTTTTTTTACTATTTCGAATAATGTTGCTATGAACATGTGTGAACAGATTTCCATCTAAGTATATAGCTGAGAGTGGAATTAGTATAGTAATTTTAACTTCTTGAAGTATTATTATTTTGTATTATTCTTTTGTGGACCCAACATTATCTTTATAGCACCAAATCTAGGTATAGTTTAGTATCAGACATACAATGGGTGTTTAGCAAATACATATGAATTAAAATATGCCTTTGTAACATTTTGATTAATTTATAGAATTTGTTGAGTTTTTTCCTTCTCATAAAACACATTCCTAACTAAATACATGTTGAGTATCCTTTTGGTTTTTGTTTGTTTGTTTTTGGGGTTTGAGGTTTTGTGGTTTTGTTTTGGTTTGGTTTTGGGTGTTTTGTTTTGGTTTTTTTTGAGATAGGATCTCACTGTGTAATTCAAGCAGGTCTTAAACTCAGTATATAATTCAGGCTGGCCTTGAATTTAAGGTGATCTTCCTGCCTTAAACTCCTGAATGCTAGGGTTATAGGAATATACCACCCTACCTGGCCTCAAGTGTCCCTTACCTGAAATGCTTTTTCTTTTTCTCTTTTTTTTTTTTTTTCTTTTGTTACTGGAGATTGAACTCATAGCCTCTTGCTTGCCAGGGTCCTGAAATGCTTTGGACCACAGGTTTTTGAGATTTTTGGATTCTAATACATTTGAAATTTTGCTCAGATTTGACTGAGTCCAAAACTTAGTCTTCTGTGAAAATAGGAGTTGGAAAGGAAAGAAGTTAATCTACAAAGAAACTTATCAGAGGTATATTAAGATTAATATTTTATTTATTTATAAAGATTAATATTTTATTCCATTAGAGGACAAAGAGCCATTTAAAGAAAGGTCCAAAGTTAATGTTCCTAACGTGATACAGTAAAAATTATGATTGAACTGTGAAAGGTTTCTCTTCCTTTTGTTCCAGGTGCGTTATCCAGAACGCATTACCATACTGAGAGGAAATCATGAAAGCCGACAGATTACCCAAGTATATGGTTTTTATGATGAATGTCTACGAAAATACGGAAATGCCAATGTTTGGAAATATTTTACAGATCTCTTTGATTATCTTCCACTTACAGCTTTAGTAGATGGACAGGTATGTTATGTGTGTGTGGTGACAGTATGACTGTCAGGAAAGATGTACTGTTAATAATTTATGTTCTAGATTTACATAACCTGTGTATATGCATCTTGGCTCCCCCAACACACACCTTTTCAAATTTCTAAGCAGGGAACTGGTTGAGTTTTGTGCACTTAGAACGGCAAATTTCCTATTCAAATATATATGCTAATATGCTTTTATTATAAATTTGGTAAGTGCTTAAGATTGTAAGATCATGATATGTACTATTAATAAAGCCAGATGTTATTTAAAAGTATCTGCATATATGCTGTACAGTTTGCTGGTTACATGAATAACTTTATTCCTATTTTCATGATAATCAAACCTTTGCTAAGAAGTGCTTTGTTCCACCCAAAATAAGTATTGCAGACATACCACAGAACATTGAAAAGTAGAAAAACAAAATACAATTCTCCTATTATAATTTCTAGAGGCTTTACTGTATAAGCTGATTTAAATTTAAATATAAAACTGTAGTTCTTAAATGTCCATAGTTCTGAGGGCTGTAGTAGATAACGCTTTTGGCCTTCCAGGGAGAGTATAATTTGGTTATGACCCTCTGTGTAATTCTGATGATCTACATTTTTCCCAGCCAAGATTATGGACACTGCAGTAATGTCCAAAGGATATTATTAAAAGGATAATTAAAAATAATAAGTACATAGATAATACTTTGTCTATGTTTGCTAAAATTAAAGCATTAATTTATAAGGTGGTTAAGGTTTTACATTGTTAAAAACTAATATAATCTTAAAATTAACAGACAAAATTATTTTAGATAGGTATCCTGTCAGTATTGATGATGTGTCGTTTTTAAAGTAACTCCATTTGGACCAGGAATATAGCTCAGTAGTAAAATACTTGCCTGCTATGCTAAAGACTCTAGCTTTTACTCCCCAAAACTTTTTTTTAAAAGTTTATTAATGGTACCAAAAAGTAAAAGTACATTAGTAGAGCTTTATTTTTCTCCACCTGTCAGCACCCTCCACACTCTTACGCTCAGTGAACCATTGCTCTTATTATTGTAGTACTTGTAAGAAACAAAGCAAATGTACACCACTACTGACACATTGTTTGTTATAAAATATTATTGCAAAAAGTTTCTGTACCTCTAAAATAAGTAAACAAAACAAATGGGTCTACAGAATATTTGAACATGACCTTACCTAACAGATACAATGTTTGATGTATCGGTGGTACTCAGTTAACCAGAGCTAAAATTTAGTAGGCAGATTTCACCAACCCTTTAAGGAACATGAGAAGAGATGAAAAGCATCACAGCTTACACTTTATTCCATCCCCAGTTATGCAAAAAGCAAACCAGTTATGTGCCTAGTGTAATATCACTATCACGTCGTGTGGCAAGTATAGAAAGATAAGATTTGACTGAGATCATTTGAGAAAATTCCTGTTTTGATGATTTAAAACTCAATTAAGATAAATATGCAACTGCATTAATGGGTTAAATTGGTGAAGCATTAGAAATCCTCCTCACCAAAATTAGGAGAAAAATGTTCATTAAAACTTGCTTTATAAAGCCCAGGCATGGTGGTTCACCTGTAATCCCAGCATTTGGGAGACTGAGGCAGGAAGGGCTGTGAGTTTGAGGCCAACTTGAGCTGCATAGAGAGTTTAAGGCCAGCCCGAACTACTTAGAGAGACCCTATCTCAAAAAACTTGCATTATTAGCCAGGCATGGTACCATATGCCTATAATCCTAGCACTTGGGAGACTGAGGCAGGAGGATTGCTGCAAATTCAAGGCCAGTCTGGGCTACAGCCAGAAATACATAGCAAGACCCTGTCTCCGCAAACAAACACAAAAAACTTGTACTATTCAGTGTTGTTTTAGAAGTCCTAGCCAGTGTACTAAGCAGTAAAAACAATTAAAAGACATAAATATTGAAAAGAAAGAAAATTACATATATGTATTTTTTCAAATAAATTGTGCACTCAGAAAATCTGAGAAAACTGAAAAAGTGTTGTAACCAGTAATAATCAGTAGGAATGGTTGCTTGTTGTGAAAAGTTTTTATACATCAGCAATAACCAAAACACAATATAATAACAAGACACAAGAGTAGGGATCCTGTTCACCAGAGAAAAGAAAAAAACTATAAAATGAGACCCAGCGTTGTGGCACACACCTGTAATCCCAGCACTTGGGAGGCTGAGGCAGGAGGATCCCTGAAAATTCAAGGCCAACCTGGACCACAAGGTGAATTCAGGGCCAGCCTAAACTGCACAGTGAAACCTTGCCTCAAAAAGACACACCAAAACACACACACACACACACACACACACACACACACACACACACACACACACACAAACTGGGATGCTAGGAATGGAGCTTATTGGTGGAACACTTTCCTAGCAGTCACAAGACCCTAGCCTAGCACCACACACAGAAGAACAAGCAAACCATCTAGTGAAACCATGAAGTTAAAAAGTGGAAGGAATACTGTATATGTAAATGTTAACAATTTTAGCCAGATACACATCTATAATCACAGCACTTGGGAGGCTGACGCAGGAAAGATGCCATGAGTTTGAGGCTAGCCTGGGCTACATAAACTTTACTTTGAAAAGAAGAGTATTGAAGCCGGGCATGGTGGCTCATGCCTGTAATCCCAGCACGTGAGAGGCTGAGGCAGGAGGATCATTGCGAGTTCGAGACCAGCCTGGGCTACAAAGTGAGTTCAAGGCCAACCTGAACTGCATAGCGCGAAACCCTGTCTCAAAAAAGACAAAAAAAAAAAAAAAAAAAAAAAAAGAAAGAAAAAGAAAAGAGTATTAGGACTGACACATGTAACTGTTATTTAGCTTTCTTTGACTTTTAGCAATTAGTAAAACAAATATATTTTCCTTTTAAATTCCTAAACAGATATTCTGCCTCCATGGTGGCCTCTCTCCATCCATAGATACACTGGATCATATAAGAGCCCTGGATCGTTTACAAGAAGTTCCACATGAGGTAAACTTTGTTTAAAAAAGAGAAAGCAGTATAACTCATGTGAGAATGCTAAATAAGTTCACTATGACTGCCACTAATTTATGACATACATTTCATTTTCTTGATCAGGGCCCAATGTGTGATCTCTTATGGTCAGATCCAGACGACCGTGGTGGATGGGGTATTTCACCACGTGGTGCTGGCTACACATTTGGACAAGATATTTCTGAAACGTTTAACCATGCCAATGGTCTCACACTGGTTTCTCGTGCCCACCAGCTTGTAATGGAGGTAGGTACTTCTTCTGATACGTGATCTTTATCTCAAATAGTATCTATGTGTTCATGAATTGAAATATAGGACATATTGCTTCCCAAATGAAAGGAAATTTTATATCAAATAGTAAAATATTAGATGGCCAGAGCAAAGTATTAGTTGGCCCAGATCTCTAGGAAGAGAGTGTTCTATTTACTAATAATAGCTTCAAAATATATGAAGCAAAAATTGACATTATTTATTTATTTATTTATTTATTTTTTGTCTTTTTCCTTTTCATTGGTACCTGGGATCGAACTCATGACTGCCTGCTTGCAAGGCAGGCGCTTATGCCGCTAAGCTAAATCCCCAGGCCAAATTGACACAATTTATGAGGGAAAGTTGAAAAATCTTATCATTGTTGTAGAAGAAATTTCAACATAGGCCATAGCTAAGATCTCAAAAATTAAGCACAACTGCATAGTTAGGAGCTCAATGTAACAAAACCCTGTGCCCAGTACTATGTTCTGAGCAGACAGATGCACTGTTAAAGATGGAGGCTGCATGTGGCTGTGTGTCTGCAAGGGATATTTGGTTATATGTGGTCAAGATCAGAATTTTATAATGAAGCATATTTTTAATGCTGCAGGGATACAATTGGTGCCATGATCGGAATGTGGTTACCATATTCAGTGCACCCAATTACTGTTACCGTTGTGGAAACCAGGCAGCTATCATGGAATTGGATGATACCTTGAAATATTCTTTGTAAGTAACTTTAAATTTTAATTGTATGCAATCAATTTCCTAAACAGTTTTTAAAATCTTAGTTTATTAGTGTATGTGTGTAGTACGTAATGTTTATATTCCTTTTGTGAAATTGATACCTGCACATAACACATCTTAATTCCTTTTCCTTCCCTTTGTCGACCCCCCTTTACATATTTGGGCTCTCCCACCCATCCACCCCTCTTTTTTTCTACGTATTTGAAGTACATAACGTTTACATTCCTTGTGTGAAATTGGTACGTGTACATAACATACCCCAAGGTGTCAAGCTGCACACATTTTCCTACAAATAAGTCAATCCTTTATGGCAGAGTAATACTCCATGGGATGTAAATACCACATATTCTTTATCCATTCATCTTTGATAGTCTTATGGGCCACTTAGAAGATTTATCTATTATGAATTGTGCTATTATAAACATGGATATGCATGTCTCTCTGTTAAATGTCTTTAACTCTTTTAGGAAGACAAATAGAAGGGGAATAGCTGGATCAAATGGAATTTCTAGTTTTAGGCTCTTGAGGAATCTCCCTACTAATTTCTGTAGTGGTTGTACCACTGTGTACATCCCACCAACTGTGGAGGAGGGCTCCTTTTTTGCTCACAGCCCCTTCAGCATTTGTTATTACTGATTTCTTGATGATAGCCCTTCCTTCTGGAGTGAGGTGGAATTTCAGTGTTGTTTTATAATGCTCAGCAAAGTTGAGCATTTTTTCATGTATTTGTTCTTCTGAGAATTATCTCCTCATTCCATTTGTCCATTTTTTGAGTGAGTCTTTTATTTTGAGGATCTCTTTTTGTGTTAATTCTTTCTGTATTCTAAATGAGTCCTTCAACTGAGGAATCACTGGCAAAAAATTTTTCCCATTCTGGGGCTGGGGTTGTAGCTCAGCTGTGTAATTGCCTGCCTGGCAAGTGCAAGGTCCTAAGTTCATTTCCTGGCAGATTGTCTTTTCTGTAGATTGTCTTTTCACTCTGTTGGTTCTTTTGCTGTGCAGAAGCTTTCTAATTGAATATGGTCTCATTTGTTGATTTTCAGAACTATTTCCTGTATAACTAAGGTTCTTTTCAGAAAGTCCTTATCTATACCTACAACTGCAAGAATTTTGCCTGTTTTCTCTTCTAGCAGGTTGTGTTTCTGTTTTGACATTTAGTTCTTTGATTTAACTTTTAAATTTTATTTACGTATCTGTTCGGTTGTGGGGGTTTTTTGTTTTTTGTTTTGTTTTTTGAGACAAGGTCTTATTATGTAGTATAGGCTGGCCTTGAACTCCTGGAGATCCTCCTGCCTCATCCTCCCAAGTGCTGGGATTATAGGCGTGTGTCACCATATCTGGGTCTTTGATCCATTTTTATTTTAGGTTAGTATGTAGTGAGAGATATGGGTCCAGGTTCCATCTTCTGCATATGGATAGCCAGATTACTCAGCACCATTTATTAAAGAGGCAATCTTTCCCCCAGTGTATGTTTTGACTCCTTTGTCAAAGATCAAATAATTGAATGTGCTTGAAGTCATTTCTGCACAAGGAGGGCGCTGAAGGATGTATCCGCCCTATGGCTAGGTATGCGGAATTGGATCCCAAAACTGAAAATCATGCCAACAGACCACTTATCCAGTAACCTCAGGATTTTTTCTTTGCCTCAATCTTTTCATTGATTTTCCTGTTTTACTTTATTTTTCTTTCCTTTGTTGAGTTTTTCCAGTTAGGGTTTTTTCTCCAACTTTATTTTCCTCTTTTAGTTTCTTTTTTTTCTCTTTTATCTCTTTCCCTTCCAACTTGTCTTCCTTCTCTAAAAGAGAGAAAAAAAAAAGATAAAAGAGAGAAAAAATAGATAAAAGATCTATTTTTGCTGTTCTTTTTTCCCCTTTTCTTGTTTATTCTTTCCAGTGATTGTTCTCTATCACTATTAATTTCCTTTTGCTCCTTAATAGGACCCCCTACCTTACTTTTCTTTCCTCCTCTTTTCCCATCAGTTAATTTTTCAAATTTTGCTCCTCCTTCTCCACATCCCCACCCCTCCACCAGTATAACTACTAAACTTTATGACTCTAGATGGTTAACTTTATGTTATTGAATACTGTGCTAATAGAGATAAAGTCATTCCATTTTCTGTAGGTCAGTATTCGATTTGTCTTAGCGTTCACACTATAATCATAGATTTCTTTTCTACAGACAAGGGTGGTATGGTGTTGGCCCTTAGGTTTACAAATATTCAGCTTGTGTTTCATGTTATAATTGATGCTGATTTTATTACAATAACAAAAGTGTCACAGCTATTGCTATTGGTTGATTTTCTTGAGATGGCAATAACTAGATTACCTGTGGGTCATTAGCAATACTGTGGTCCATCCTGGGAGAATGGGTATTGAGGCAAATATGCTGCAGCCCCTAGCATGTTATCTCAAGTCAACTTAGGTGGCTGGAACCTGGGACACAGGCAAAGGTGGGCAGGAAGCCATCCCCAGAGAATACCACTGAAAAGTAGATACTAACTAAAGAAGTCTTCATACTAGAAGCAAGCCTCAACACAAACCAACAGAGAGAGGGAGGATGGGAGAGATAGAGGGAGGGAGAGACAGACAGACAGAGAGGGAAGAAAGCATGAGAAGACAAGCCAACAAAACGCCTCCAAATACCCCCACTTGCCCAAAGCTGATCCATAGCGTGTCAAAGAAAAGGAAACCAAAAGCCTCACACTTCAACAAAATAGTTCAGTAAAGCAGTTGGCAAGATCATGGAAGATATAAGTAACAAGATGTTGGGCCAACTAAATAAAACCATAGCAAGTCTAAAGAAGACATTAATAAAAAGAAGAGCTAGACAAAACAACACAAAACATGCATGATAAGCACAGTAAAGGACTAGAGTCCTTTTAAGGACTCCAAATAGAAAATCAGATGATTAAAAAAAATCTGTTGAAAGTATGGCAGCAGGATCATGTGAGGACAGTCTCAGAACTAAACGAGAGTGCTGTTGTCAGGAACTACTTGATGAGAGAACATCTTAAAAACAAGAGAACGTGAAAAATGATCTTGCCCCCATTGGTAGAGAGGGAACAGATAGACCCTCTGTTGTCTGCTGGATGTGGGCTTCAAGGTGGGGTTTCAGATGGGCTGTTGGGCTCAGTGTGGGCCGTCATGGCGTCTAGTTGCTCCTTCTCTCCCTGGGTGGTGTTTTTGGGCAGCTCGGGTCTGTTGGTTTAGTCTTTTCCTCTTGCTGCACCATACTGAGCTCTCCCGGGGTTGAGGCCCCATTCTCCCCTCAAGGATCTGCTGGGAGCAGGGCTGCCCCAGGGCTGCTCTTTCTCCTGGCATGGAGGTACCCTCCAGGTCTTCTCTCACATACAGTTTTAGAAGGAGAATTTTAAATGTAGCTATTATAAATAGGTAGATTTCTGCTTTGGATTGTGAAAAGAGAAGTGCAGCATACTGTGTCTATGGCAAAAATAGCCATTTAACTCAAAAAAACAATTTTTAAAAAAGGTTTTGAGAATTGTCCAAGGACTTAAAGCAAATGAAGAAACAATTATTTGGTAAAAACCTGCTAAATCTCAAAACAGTTGGAGGCAGTAGCATCTGAGCCGTGACTTGGCTCCTTCCCCATACTCTCATATCCACATTATAGAAACTATCCCAGCTACTCTTCCTGGCCAGGTGTGGTTAAGAAGCGTGGAGTTTCCACAGTTCCCATTCTAGGGCATAATTTGTATCTGAGAGATATTAAACACATGCCAGCTGCCCTGGTCCTGGGTTACAGAAGTTGTACTCCTGCTGGGTGATTGAGTGGCCAAGGCTCACTTTTTCATCCTGGCCTATAGGCTGGATGCCGTATTCCAGACATGCATGACAAGGTGACAACGCTGAGTTCCCACTTGCTCTCATTGTAGCACATTCCATGGATCAGAAGATGTCTCAGAAGTAGGCTGTGCCTGTCCCCAGCAGTAGCACAGAAGTTCTGTGCAAAAAAGAGAGGCAGACCAGAAAAGTTCCTCAGCTCTGCCTTACAACAGAGGGTAGAGAATCTCAGTCTGAGTACTCTGTTGAAACTGGCTGTCATGGTTGAGACCCAGTTATGAGTATTCCCATGGTTCCCATGATACTCCTAGTGACAAGCAGAAGAGTAGAGCAACAAGAAGTTAACAGACAAAACTAGGGAAAGAGATAGCCAAGATAAGCCCTGCTGGGGTCATGATAAATGCTGAGTAGCAGGAAGGCTATGTGCATGTACTAGCTGTACCCACTCTGGTGCAGAGTAAGGTATCCAAGTCATACATAGACTCAGTTCAATAGTGGCCTCCCAAAAAATTCATATTTACCTAGAACCTTAGTGTGGTGTTATTTGATAATAGACTTTTTGCAGATTTAATTAAGATGAGGTTGCACTGGATTAGGGAGGGCCTTAAATCCAATGTGACTCACATCCTCACCAGAAAAAAAGCAGCATAGATGCAGAGGAGAGAACCCACATGAAAATAGATAGGTGGGGGAGAGGAGGGTGTCAAAGGAGAAGTAAAAAGAAGTAAGATCTGTTAGGTACGTGTGTCAGCTCCCTGTGATGAGTACAATCATTATGTACTGATTACAATTTAAAAAATAAAAGTGCAAAGCAGCACACATACGAAATTTCTCTTGAACAAACAAGATAGATTGGAGTGATGTACTGCATCTACAAACCATGAATGTGTGACCCAACAGAAGAGAAGCCAGGGAGAATCAAGAATTTTTGCCTCAGACCTGCAAAGAGAACAAGACCCAGCTAACTCCTTCAGACTTTAGCATCCATAAATCTGAGCATATAAACCCATGTTATTTAAGCCACTCAATTGCAATAGTTTGTGATGACTGCCCTAGGCAACTAGTAAGTAGATTAGTCAACAGTGTGTGTAATCCTTGCTAGTGCTAGGGACTTAAATACAACTTTTAATCAAATACCAGGTGAACAGCAAGTTGCTCTAACCCAGGAACACCCCTTAGGAAGTCAGGCTTAAAAATCACACGTAACCTGGCAGATTGAAGTCTGTGTGCATGCTTACGGACTGATTGGAAAAGGAAAATCTAGGTACGCTTGATCCCAGGAATGCAAAATTGGCTCAGTGTAGCAAACCATGTTAGTATTAAAGGACTGCTGGGCATAGTGGCTCATACCTGTAATCCCAGCACTCAGAAGGCTGAGGTAGGAGGATTCCTCCAAGTTTGAGACCAACCTAGGCTACATAGTGAGTGCAAAAAAGTTAAACAACAAAAGCCAGTTGTCTTAGTAACTGCAGAAAATGCATTTGATAAAACCCAACATCCTTTCAAAACAGAAATATTCAATAAGCTAATCATAGAAGAGACATTCTTCTTCTAATAAAGGGCATCTGTAAGTAGCCTCCTCCCATTCAGCATCATACTTTTTTTTTCAGCATCATACTTAGTGGTAAAAAAAAAAAAAAAAGAAAGAAAGAAAAGAAACTGTTTTCTTCCTAAAATCAGGAAAGAGAGAAGCACGTCAGTCTCACAACTTCCATATCACTGGTGATAGCATTACAAGCCTTTTTTTGAGTAGGCCCTGGAGTAGACCTTTTTTGCCTCCTTTCACTTCCCACCATAGCTTTGTGAAGTGGTGACACAGGTTAACCCATAGTAATTTGGCGAGGGTCATCCCAGCCTAAGTGAATGCAGTAGCATTGGGAAGCCAAGACTACTATTTCTGTTCAGCATCTTGTTCTTTATTGATTTGTGTGCTTCTGAAGTCAAATATTTTAATGAGTTGCCTGTTTTTTTTTTTTTTTTTTTTTGCCATTTATAGTCTTCAGTTTGACCCAGCACCTCGCCGTGGAGAACCTCATGTTACTCGGCGCACCCCAGACTACTTCCTGTAAATGCCTCCTGGGAAAAACTGCCTTTGTATGTGAAAGTATACCTGGCTTTTTAAAATATATATATATACATATATATATTTAAAAATTTAAAAATGCAACAGTAATCTATGTTTCTGTAACAAATTGTGTGATCTGTCTTGGCATTAAAACACATCATGGACCAAAACGTGCCATACTGATGATGAGCACTTAGCACAATCTGAGACTGAAATTTGGTACACTGTGTTCTACATCGGTCATTCTGACAGTTTGCCTGCTGTGTTTGTAGTAACTATTTTCCTCGGGACTGTTCCAGCAACAAAGGTAACTAACTGCTTTATTTTCTTTTGTGCTCATTTGGAAATTTTAGTTATAGTGTTTAACGAGCATGGATTAATACGGTTGAAATTTTATTTTTAAGAAAAATTCACAAACTGACTTCCAGTTAATCCATTATCCTTTATTTTATTAAAATGTATGATTAACTGAAGAAAAGATTCTTCCTGGGAGTATGTTGTCATAACATTAAAGAGATTGCCCTTCATTTACATACTGTTTTATGTTGATCTGCATATTTCTGTATATTTGTCATGACAGTGCTTGCATCTTATTTGGTGTACTGAGCGAATAAACTTTTCATTTTAAACAAAAAATGTTTAACTGTGGTGTGCATAAAATGGAAACTTATTTTAAAACTTAGTACAAAATCTTGTCTAATGGTTGGGTGTGGCAGCACACATCTGTAATCCCAGCGTTCTGGAGGCTGAAGCAGGTGAATCAGCATGAGTTTGAGGCCAGCCTGAGCTACATGGTTTAAGAGCAGCCTGTACTACATGGTGAGACCTTGTCTCAAAAAGCAAAATAAAACAGAATATCTCTTCTGAACAATAGGAGGTGACTTAAACGTGATGCTCTTGGGCTGGAAATGCGCTGGGTAGTAGAACACTTTCTGGCACATGAGTGAGGTCCTGGGCTCAACCCCAAGCTCTGGCCATAAAAACATTTTTCCTGGTACTCACAAATTGAACTCAAAGGCACCCTACCACTGAGCTACATCCAACCCTTTTTGGTTTTTTAAAATAGAGTCTTGCTAAATTGACTGGATTAATAAACTTTGCCATCCAAGTTCATTTTCAGAGGGGGAAAAAAATCCAAATATTAGGTGCTAATTATTAAACAATTAAAATGTGAGGCCCTGAGTTCAATTCCCAGGGCAAAAACATTTTTGTTTCTAGACATCTCATTAGGTGATTTGTTTTAATTTATTCATGATTTTAAGTACAAAATATAGACTTTGTGCTATCACTGTAGATTTATGGAACTAGGAAGGAAAAAATTTTAAAGAAGATAAAACCAAGCAAAATAGAACAAAGCCAATCCAAAAATAAATAAAATCCTATTGTAAAATGACACAGGACTTTAAAAGAATACGAAATCAAACAATGGTTACCATAATGCATCTGATTGTCTTCAAAATAGCTGTAGATACCTTCAGACATAGTAAAAATCAAACAAAATAGAACCAATAAAAACAACAATGAATGTAATAAAGGACTTCAAAACAATAGTAAATCCAAAATGATTACCATAATATATCTTGCTATTTTTAAATAGCTGCCTATGCCATCAGACAACAAAATCAAACAAAGCAAAACAGAATAAAACCCAACCCAGTGGAACAATGAAAACGATACAGGACTTCAAAACAAGATAATAGAGAATTAACCATGACAATGACCTTCAGAAGGAAATTCCCCCATAGATGCCACATTGTATACTGCTGTCCTCTGATTAGATGGTCAGACCACTGGCCCTAGATCTGCAGAGTCAGTCGCATCAAATTGCTTTCCACATCTGTAGCTATGGTGGCAGCCTATGTTTCTCTGGATCACCCAGTTGCTTACGGGTGTTGGGGATAGAGGTTAGCTCTTTAGTTTCCCAACCCACATGTTGGAAGGGCTAGGGTCGGGCTGTCCCCCAGTGGTGGCGGCCCACTTACGATGCTGATTCACAGAAAAGGCTTGCTTCTTGTTGACTTCTTGTTCTCTTCCACTGCAGTTTGTGAATAGTGCTGATTCATGGGAAAAGGCCAGGGTCTGGCTATCCCCCAAGCAGAGGTGGCCCGTGCATGGCACACCAGGAAATTCTTAGAATGGTACTATATCCACTACTTCCAACACTCAGAATATTTTTCAGGAAAATATTTTTAAATTTTTATTGGTACATATTTGCAGTACATTATGATTACCTTTATTATAAGGAATTGTTACATGTATAAACACATTGGAAAGAAAAACTTTAATATTTCTACTTTTGATCCAGGTGTGGTAGTGCTATAATCCTAGCACTCAGGGGTCTAAGGCAAGAGGATCACTACGAATTCAAGTCCAGCCTGCATTACATAGTGAACTGAAGGCCAATCTGAACTACATAGTGAGAACCTATCTCAATCAGTCAATAAAATCTCTGCTTTTGACCTAGAAAGAATAGATCTCTGAAAGATTAGTACAAGTAGAAGTGAAAGTACTATTCAAATGTATAAATTGTTTTAAGAGTAGGTTAATTGGGTGTAGGAGCATACATGCTTGTAACCCTAAGCCCTTGGGAGGCTGAGGAGGCAGGAGGCCTGCTAGTTTGAGGCCAACCTAAGCTACAAAGTGAGTTCAAGGCCAGCCTGAACTGCATAGTGAAAGAATGTCTCAAAAAGGAAAAAGTATAAAAAGTGTAGATGAAGTGTTGAGGTGAGGGCCTGGGGATGTAGCTCAGCACAGCACCTGCCTGGCAAATGTGAGGCCCTGAGTTCAATTCCCAGGGCAAAAAAAAAAAAATGTGTGGAAAGTGATGATGAATCCCCCACTTACAAACGTGTTGTGTTCTAGAAGAATGTAAGTCGGATTCATTCCTAAGTCCAACACAGTCTTACACACCTTTGAGCTTCCTCACCACTGCTTTTCCTCCTGCGTCCAGATGGCTTGGCACTGTGCTACTGTGCACTGTCACGCTACAGTGAGCAGCACACAACACACAAATGTTTGTAATGCAAAATCAGTTCCTATCTGAAAGTTTGAACCTCGAATATTCCTAAGTTGGGGGCTTACTATATCTCAAAATCAGAATCAGTATAAATGGACAACATTCTCTAGTTAAAAGACAGAGTCAGCTGTATACTAATTATAAGACAAATAACAGGAGCAAAGGTACTTGAGTTTGTTTGCTATTAAAAGACCAAAAAGATACTAAACAAAAGAAATCTCAGTATATTTAGTTAATATTAAGTAGACTGGAGTAATTGACAGAATTTAAAGGAGTATCAATACATACAAAATTGAATTAACTGATTTCTAAACTCACATATGCACTAAAATGGAATATGTTAGCTATATTTTTAATGTGTTCTACCAAGTTCACATGTAGGAAACAAATCCCAAACTAACTGTTGAGAGGTAGGACTTTTAAGAGGTGAGTAGATGTAGGAGTTTTGCCTTGATTAGTGGGTTGTACCATTGTTACATAAGAGCTTTGTTTTCATGATTGTTATGAATACACTCTTTGCTTGCATTTTTGAGCTCTCTTCCTCTTCAGCCTTCTACTATGGGATGATGCAGATAGCAGCCCTCACTGGATGCCAGCAGCTTTTTCTTATATTTTCCAACTCAAGAACTGTATGAAATGTCTTTTTTATGAGTTACCTAGGCTCTAGTACCCTGTTATAGTAACATTGCACAGATTTAAGATAAAAGTAGTTCTGAGAGTTGTGTTTCTATAACACTCAGGGATAAGGAGACGGCTTTGAAATGGGTAACAGGCTGGAAGAATTTTGAGGAGCAGCCTGGAAACAGCCTAGGTCACTGAAATCAGCAGTCAGAATGATTCTGATGCAAGCTCAGAAGAGAAGAGTAGGGAAGCCTGGAACTTAGAGATTACTTGAATGGTAATGGTAGGAAAAATACTAAAGACCATGCTGGTGAGTTCACATGGAAGTGAAGAACAAGGTATTGGAAACTAGAAGAAAGACTTATTACAAAAAGCTGAGGCATTCCACGCTCTGCCGGGAACGCAGTGAAGGCAAGTGGCGTAGTATGCAGTAGACTCAAGAGGAAGACCTGCACCGAGCCGTGGTGAGTACTAGAGACTGGGTCCCATGGCTGCTGTGGTTGGCCAGAGAACATCTTGGAATTGGGCAGAGCCCACCACCACAACGACATCAATAACACAGAGAGCCTGGTGGAAGACATCTTAGAGTTGGGCAGAACCTGTGGCTTGGTGACATCACCGAGTCGCCCCTGGCATAGAGGGGTCTGGTGGAGGACATTATTGGGCAGAGCCTGGCGCCGTGTTGGCTTCAGTGTCATAGAGAGAATTAGTGGAAGACATCTTGGAATTGGGCAGACCCGCTGTCCTGGTGCTCCTGGCACAGAGAGGTCTGGAAGAGAACAGCTGGGATTTGGGCAGAACCCTGTGCCATGGTGACATTAGTCAGCTGCTTCTGGCACAGAGAGAACTGGCAGGATCTGCTGGGGCTGAACCAAGCCTCTGCTTGGGGCCCAATAAGCAGATACAAAATAGTCGCAACTCTGTGATATCCAGAAAGTACAGCCTAATTTACAGATTGACTGGCACAGAGGCTGGAGGCTAGCCTACACTATCCCTGCATCCCTGCCTACCCCAGATAACAGCAAATTGGGGAAGACAACAAAAACTCAAGTCAGCACGCTTCTGAAAGGGCCTAAGCAGTATGGAGAGGGCCAGAGACCCCCAGGACACTCCAGTCTGAAAGAAACCAGAAACGTGATGAGATAAAAATAAAAAAAAAACTCCAGCTGCCCAACATGAGAAAATTAAGCCCAGAAGTAAACACTGAAGAGAACAAGCACAGTAACCATCCAATACTGGACACAGCATCAGCCGAAATTAAAAAATACCTCCATGACCTCATAGCTGTACTCCTGATCCAAGTGAGGCAAGATATAAAGAGATTAAAGAAATGACAAGCCCCGTCCACGAGGACACAGATGGAAGAACTGAGGAAATCAGAAAAGAAAGAGAAACTTCTGAAGAAGAATTTAAACATAACTTAGAATACATGAAACAGATCCAAAGAGATTACCAGGAAACTAAAAACTCCAATGAACACTGGCAAAATGCCTTGACAGAAACTAAAGCCAGCCTTTTGAAACTTGAAGAGAAATTTATGACATATGATGGTGAAAGAAAAAAACCTCTTAAAAATAACAAGGAACCAGAAAGAAACAATTCAAAAGCTACAAGATGACAAAAGGATACATAACTTAAGAATAAAGAATGTGAGTGAGGAAGCAGGAGCAACCAAAAATGAAATACAAAGAATATTCACAGATATATTAAAGCAAAATTTCCCATGTATAGCAAAAAGAAATGATATCCAGATAAAAGAGGCATACAGAACACCAGCTACCTACAACCAAAACAGATCTACACCTAGACATATAATGATCAAGATTCCAGAAATCCACCCAAAGAACAGAATATTAAAAGTAGCCAGAGAAAAGAAGCAGATTACCTACAACGGGAAAATTATCAAAATAACCAAAGATTTATCAACATAAATTCTTAAGAAGGGAATGGGGAGAAATATTCCAAGTCCTGAAAGAAAATAATATGCAACCATGACTCA